CACATGATCTCACTCATTTATGGATAATAAAGACCATTATAAACTGATGAACAAAAATAGATACAGAGGCAGAGCAGCATCGAACAGACTGTCAAACTACAGCGGGAAGGGGCCGGGGAGGTTTGGGGAGGTGAGTAAGAGATCAACCGAAGGACTTGTATGCATGCATATAAGCATAACCAATGGACACAAGACACTGGGGGGTAGGGGAGGCCAGGGAGGGTCAAGGGGGGAAAAAAAGGAGACATATGTAATACTCTTTGTAATACTTTAAGCAATAAAACAAAATTTTTTTTAAAAAAGACTATTTACAGAGCTAGGAGCAAAGATAACAGTAATACCTGGGCTGGCCATAGAGAGGCGCTGTTGGCACCCAGGCTGGAAGCGCAGGGAGGACGTGGTTACCAGAGCTGGCGAGAGTGGCTAAGCTCAGAGGGCCACCTGTTTGGAGCTGTGGCCTTAGGGAGGGGTCTCAGAGCCAACCCACAGCAACAGAGGCAGGGGCTTCACTCTCCTCCTCTCTCCCCTCCGGTGCCTCCCATTGGGCAAACCCAAGCCCATTGGTGGAGTCTGCATGGGTTGGCCTCCTGGGCACAGGGGGTGGTGGAGGGAGAGAGCAGGTGGGAAGGGCTAGCAGAGGGTCCCCAGCACTCTCTCTCTGCCCACCTCTTACACCTTCTCAAGCTCCAGGGCACAGCTCAGATCCCTCCTTGGGCAACATCCGCTTCCAAGACAGGCTTATTATCGAGACATTCTTCTCACCCTTCCCAGACGTCCCCAAGAAGGTCACAAACTTCTTAAGGGCAGGACTTCTCTGGCTCCTCCAGAGTGAACAGTATAGGTTCATGGACCTGTTTCTTGAATGAGAGGGTGATTTGTTCCAGGGCCCAAGCCGCCGGGGAAATGCTACATGACTCTCGGGGACTCCCATGTAAGGTCCTCCCTCCCTCTGGATCTTTGCTGACCTGGATGGAAGTAGCCTCTTCCGGGGGCTGAGAATAACAGCGGGAGGCCTGGAGTCTGTCCCTACTTGCTCCTGGGCAGCTGTTCCCTCTGCGCACACATCTGACCCCCTGGGCTCTGCCTTCAGACACCAGCACACGCCCACCGTGCCTCTGGCCGCAGCATGTCTTATACTCTGGACCACGAGACGGCTGAGGCCGCAGAGTGAGAAGGTCAGTAGCAAAGCCCCTTGAACAGCTGGACACAGCGCTTGTCCTTGGCTGAACTGTGGCTTCTGCAAGCAGCAGCCTCAGAGTGCAGCCTTCACGCACATCTCACCCTCGGGGAGGCCAAGGGTGCCCTGGTGACAGTTCATAGATCCTGTCCCCGAGGGGTGCAAGGGCTGAGAGCGGCCTGCTCTTTGCACAGAGGAGAGGCATAAAGTTCTTCAGGGCAAACTGAAAAGAGGCCGAGTGGCCTGTCATCGGGGAAAGGAGGGCTGGACAGCCGAGTGGGGAAGAGCGGATTCTGGAGCCAGATAATCGGAGTTTGAATCCGCATTCTGGCCCTTACTAGCTCTACGACCTTGGGCAAAATGCTTCCCTTCTCTGTGCTTCAGTTTCCCGTATGTGGAGTGGATGATAATTATATCTAGCTCATAGCATTGTTCTGAAGATGGAATGAATGACATCTAACAAACACTACAGGAGCATCTGATAAATAAAAATGTAAAATTCTCAAGATCATGGTCACCAGGCCCAGACTGAGCCTGCCTCCCAGAGTTCCAGAGTAAGGTCATAAAACAAGATCATGTGCCTTGGCCCTTTCATAATTCAGAGAGAGGGAACAACTATCTTAAAGGGACTGCAGGTGTGTCTCGTGGAAAAGGAAATACGCTTGGCATATGGGGCCCCCAAACACAAAACCAGGACCAGGAGGTGGAAACTAAAGGGTGACATAGTACATTTCATTTTAACCAGGTCCAGAGGGTAGGCTAATTGTACTCCTCATGGCTCACCACCATCAACGAAGGACCAGATAACTGCCCAGAGCTGCCCGGGAGGGATGATGTCACTTGGCGAGAGGCAGTTTCACAGCTGCGGCCCCAAGGGGCAAAAGCCATCACTGTGTCTTTTACACACAGCACCTCATGTTTCTGGCTTCGGCAGACCAGCTTGTATTAGATAAACTGGAATAGGCAGATAAAGTTCTGAAGGCATATATTTGAAGACACTGGAACCCTAGAGGCAGCAAGAGTCAAGAATCCCGAGAGATAGGAAGTGTACTGAGGTGAGCCCAGCACCTCTGTCTGCTTTTCCCCTCCAGGCATTCGCTAGTTCCCTAGGCATTGGCCAGGAGGCTGAGGAGCTTGCTTGGGGCAGCCTCCCAGAACAAAACCAGGAGTTCAGAGCCTTCTAACAGGAGGTGGGGCTCTGTTAATTAGGCCCCGGCTGGAGTGGAAGGGGCCCAAGTTAGAGCAGAGCTGTGCTCTATTGTTAGAAAGCTCTGGCATCCACATACTTGGAATTCCCCAGGAGAGGAGAGAGAGAGAGAACGTAGGAAAGAACTGTTTGAAGAGATAACAGCCAAGAATTATTTAAAATTGATGACAGATTATCAGCCCAAGCAGTATAGTTTACATAGAAACCACGTCTGAGCACGTCAAAACCCAGCTGCAGAAAATCCAAGGCAGAAAACCTTAAAAGCAGCCAGAGTATAAAAGGAGCATTACCTTCAAAGGATCAACAGAAGTCCAACAGCTGAACTCTTAACAGAAAACAAGGAGACGAGGGAGGCAATGGCATGACATTTTCAAAAGGATGAAAACAATAGCAGTCAACCTAGAATTCTGGAACTGCTGGAGAGAATGAAGGTAAAACAATGACATTGCAGACAAACGAAAATGGAGAGAATTTGTTAGCAGAGGATCCCTAAAATGTTAATAGTAAAAAAAGTTCTTCAGGCCAAAGGAAAACTGATCCAAAATATTAGTATGGAGGAGAGGAGGAATGAGGGTATAGGAGGGGCAGCTATGTAGGTAAATCTAAATGAGGATCAACCTGTGAAAACAATAAAATGACTCATGGGGTTTAAAATATGGGTGGGCACAAGTAGGTTTACAGTTATAATACAAATAAGTAATACAATAATTAATAAATAATAATAATACAAGAATAAACTCTGTTTTGCATACCCACAACTGTAAAGCTCATTTTGCCCACTTTTGTCTATGCATCATTAAAAGCATAGCAACAACAGCACAAAAGGTAGGAGGGGGTTAAATGAACCGCGTTTCAAGGTTCTTGCATTGTCTGGAAGTGGTAAAAGTACTATTTTCTATTAGACTTTGTAAAGTCTAATAGGTGCATGTTGTAATCACCATAAGAGTAAAAGCAAAGTAGCATGAAGAGGGTACTAAGGGGAGGGGTGATGAAATTATAAAAAAACTAGAGGCTCGGTGCACAAAATCTGTGCAAGGGGGAGGGATCCCTCAGCCCGGCCTGCACCCTCTTCCAATCCAAGACCCCTCAGGGGAAGTCCAACTGCCAGGTTAGGCCCAATCCTGCAATCCAGGACCGCTGGCTCCTAACTGCTTGCCTGCCTGCCTGCTTGCCTGATCACCCCTAACCACCATGCCTCCCTGCCTCATCACCTCTAACCGCCTCTGCCTCGGCCCCCGCCACCACAACTTCATCCAGAAGGACGTCAGGCTATCCAGTCTAATTAGCATATGCTTTTATATTATTACAGATACTGATTAATCCAAATTAAAGTAGAGGAAAAAGTAACACAAAATAGTTGTCACAATAAAAAAAAATAGTAAGATGGTGGATTTAAACCCAAATATAT